GGCTGCATGTGGTGACTGTCCCTGTGGTGGTAGGGAGGGACCCCCCCGGGAGACACCCCCAAGGATGCCCAAGATCCCCTGAGGAACCCTTGGGGTTGCACCCCCAGGCTGTGCCCACTGTCCTGCATGGGAACTGGGGGGCATGGGGGGGTCTGTGCCCCCTGTATGGAGATGCCAGGGCTGGGGCACAAGGTGGGGGACACAGGGTGGGGGCACAAGGCAGTGTCATGTCTGTGGGTGTTTGGGGTGGGCACTGCCCTGGCAGCATCTGTGGGGAAGGAGGGTTGTGGGGTCATTGCACAGTGGGGTGGCTTTGTCCCAGCTGTGTCCTCTAGCCAGTCCTCACTGCATCCCTTGTCACCCATGTCAGGGTTCCTGTGTTCCTCCCATGGCCCACCCTGGGGTCCCTCTGCTCTGGGGTTTCCCCACTCTCCTCCCTACCCATTCCAGGGTTCCCCCAGACTCCAGAGAGTCACAGAACCACCCAACATTGAGCCTGCATGGCTAAGACCCAAGATTGACCCAACATGGCCAAGCCCCAACATTTACCCAATATAGTCAAGGCCCAGCATTGATCTAACAGGGCCAAGGCTCAGCATTGACCCAGCGTGGCCAAGGCCACCACCATCTATGTCTCCATGTCCCCAAGCACCACCTCTGCTGGGGTCAGGCTCTGTGCCCTGTGAGATGCTGGAGTGCAGCACTGACCTCCCTGTGCCCTCCAGGTGCTGTCACTGGGCGCTGATGTGCTCCCTGAGTACAAGCTGCAGGCGCCGCGCATCCATCGCTGGACCATCCTGCACTACAGCCCTTTCAAGGCAGTGTGGGACTGGCTCATCCTGCTGCTCGTCATCTACACAGCCATCTTCACACCCTACTCTGCTGCCTTCCTGCTCAGTGACTCGGAGGAGGCCCAGCGGCACCACTGTGGCTACTCCTGCAGCCCCCTCAACGTCGTCGACCTCATCGTGGACATCATGTTTATCATCGACATCCTCATCAACTTCCGCACCACCTACGTCAACTCCAATGAGGAGGTGGTGAGCCATCCAGCCAAGATTGCCATCCACTACTTCAAGGGCTGGTTCCTCATCGATATGGTGGCTGCCATCCCCTTTGACCTTCTCATCTTTGGCTCTGGCTCCGAAGAGGTGATGGACACAGGGACACAGGGACATGAAAATGTGGTGGCACCAGCTAGGCTGAGCCCTGGCTGGGCGGTGCTGTTTTGGTGCTGGGAGTTATGTTTGGGGGTCCCACCTGTGCCCCCAGGCTGGGAGTGGCTGTCTGCAGTGCTGGGGTGGGTGCTAGATCCTCCCATGGGGTGATGCTTGGGGGTCCCATATGTGTCATGGTGGGCACCATGGTGGTGGGCACTGTTACTGGGGTGCCTGTGGGCGGTCCCACCTGCAGCCCCAGGCCAGGGCTGGATGCCTGAGGTGCCATGGTGGGTGCTGTTGCCTGAGTGCCAGTTCTTCCATTGGGTGATGCCCGGGAGTCCCACCTGTGTCCCCAGGCCAGGGGGACCCTCCTGCCCTGCAGGGGCTCCGTGTGAGGTCTCAGCTGCTGGTGCCCTTGATGGCCCCTGTGTTCCCCCCTGTCCCCCCATCCCAGATCACCTTTGTTCTGGCAGGGGACACTGGAGGCACCTGGAACTGATGTGGGGAGAGAGACTTGTGGGATGGAGGTGCCTGGGTTGGGACAGGGACCCCCTGACACCCTTTTGTGGGTCCATGGGGTACCTGTACATGCACTGACCCTCCTTTACCCTCTTTCCTGTCCCCCCAAGACAACAATGCTGATAGGCTGCTGATGTGTGGAGAGGGGACGAGGGGCTGCAGGTGGCTGGGTTAAGGCAGGGACTCGCCCACCCTTCTGTGGGTCCGTGGGGTACCTCTACCCCCACTGACCCCCACTTTCCTGTCCCCCTGTCCCCCTAGACGACGACGCTGATTGGGCTGCTGAAGACAGCGCGGCTGCTGCGGCTGGGGGGGGGGGGGG